GAAGGCAGGGTTTAAAGATGCCTCAGAAATAAACATGCATATAACTTTTATTTTATATGGAGCAAGCTCTTAAAACGCACTAACCATAAACCTGACAGACAAATCCCAAAGCTAAAAAATAATAAAATTAAACAATCATGTCATAAAACTATATGAATGTAGTAAAGATTACTTAAGTCAAAAAACAAACTTCTTGAAATTATGTACTTTTTACATTTTACATGTTCACAATTTCAGCTTCAAAAATAAAAATCCTAACTTCGCCCAGAACCCTGACAGATGCTTTATGCTGTTCATCATTAACAGGGTTCCTGCACCTGAAGGGCAATTAAATTCAATGACTTTTCCATGTCCAAATTATGAAAATCCATGACCAAATAATGCAATTTCTTGGACTACACGTACGTGGCCTTTCAGGTTGCAAATAGAAATCACACAGTGCTTCATGACTTCCATGACAAAATTCCATGACTTTTCCATGACTTTAGTCATTTCTACGATATTTTATGACTTTTCCAGGCCTGAAAACGGAAAAACAAATTTCCATGACTTTCCAGGATGCAGGAACCCTGATTAATGTCCCTTTGCTTCAGTTGCAACCTTACCTGGCTTTTGGTTCCATCTGGCTGGCTAACTGTAATAATGGTTTGGCAAGCAAAGCCAGGTCTGTCAACAAAGGGTAGGATATTGAGAGGATCCGGCGGTGACACACTACTTCCAGGGTCTAGACTCTTCTGTTAAAAAATAAGTAATGAGTCATTGCTGTCAGGAAAGGTACAAAAAACTCTGTGGAATAAGGTTTGAAGTTACTCCACATTCTGTATTCCAAAAAGTGACATTCACAATACATATGCACCTATTTATAATTCCAATAGACCTGTAACATATGAAGTCATGCTTTGTTTACATGTACAGTATGCTTTCCTATGGTAGTGAAGGGAGACATGATCCATTGAGACCCCATAGAAATGCATACATGCAAACAAAGCATGACATCATTATGCTTCAGGTCTAATGGTTCGGGAGACATAATCATTTGTTTCACCAGTTATTTTCTATGCTTTTAGTTTACAATGGTCTATAATGCACAGTGGCCTATCACGTGAAACACTCATTTGAAATGAATTCCAAACCAGGATGCTATTACCATTCTGACCCTACATACTGTACCTCTATCTGACAAGAAAAAGGTTACATGTGCAACTCTCATTTGTAAGAATGGTGCATAATTGCTTGCAATACAAAGACATACAAAGTTTACATGGTTCACATCTACATTTTTTTCAATTCTAGGCATGTGTGTTCATGCCATGCCTATTGTACTGTTATTTATTTCCGGACAAAATATAACTTTTCACTCAAGTACTTTCACATTTCAGTTCTTCCATTCCAAAATATAATAACTAAGATTAAACAAGTCCAGATATTTTTACCATCAGGTCATTGTTGCATCCATGTGGCAGGGCATATGATTTACACGCAATTAGTAATAATGTCTTTTAGGGAAATTATGCCATGCTTGGGGACAGCAAATACAATGGTAGTTTTGTATTGTTTGCATGGGTTTAAGCTACTTATACTGTGCGTATGTTCAAAATAACACAAACAATACAAAAGGACCTTCGTGTTTGTTACCACTGTCTAAAAATTCCTTACTGTCTAGTCCGGGGGGATTTTTTCAATTTTGCACTGAAGCAAATTTGATTTAAACAGAAAAAAAAACAGATTGAAGCATTTACCAAATTAGTTGGGATCTCCTTGAATTTGTTCTTCACAAACTGAAGGAAATTATGAATCTAGAAGAGACACAGGGAAGAACAATTGTGTTGATTAGTATTACCTGTTGGAACTACATGAACATTTTGAAAAAGATGCTGTGTATGTTAATTTCTTCTTTGTTATAAAGATAATCACTTGCTTTTGGGCATGTGATTAATAAGGGGTATTGCAGCATACCTGTGTACAAAAATTGTTTATTTCTATGGAGGGAATTTTTATGTGTGGCCTTTGACAGAAGTAGCAAGTTTCTTTTGCTGTCCAGTTTATTATAACTTCCTACAGATGTTCCTTCTACTGAAAGGTTAGAGAGCTATGAAATTCCATAAACCAACTGGCACATTAAAAAAAATCCTCAGCAGCTTAGGAAGATTGTACAGGGATTGACCACTTCTAAACATAAAGGTAAGGATTCCTCAACTGTTCTATTAACTAACAGGTCCCCCCTCCCATTGTGATTGAAACAAACCTCTGGTTGCAGTGCAGGACGGTAATGCTTGTGCAGCTCAATGATAATACGAAGCGCTACTAGAACATTCTCTTCATTCTCTCGTTCCAGCAAAGAGAACATCAGTTCAAGAATTGCGGGTACGTAGGGTCTGAGAGTCTCATTGGTTGGCATACGATGAAGGAGCTCCAATAATAACTTGCGTAAATGCTGTGAAATCCAGAATATTGACATTGAATATATGGCTGTAATTAAAAAATGATCCCAGTGAACATCACAAAATGAAGTCCATTCACTTTCTACATCACCGAGTATTACTTTCAGGTAAGGCACATGCACATGTACATGAAAAAAGGCTTTGATGGCAAGACTAACACCTCACAATTCTGTGTTTAGGAGTCTGTTTTTCAACTGCGCTATCCAAAAGAACCTGTTGCACTGTGTAATTGTAGATCCAGATACATCACAATTAAGGGTGATTCTGTGCCGAATCCCCTTGAGATTTCTAGGAGAATGCTTCATATTTTGACCAAAATGCTTTTCTGATACATATCCTGGAAGAGTGCATTTCTTTCTTTTGTCACTCCCATTTGAGTCCAGAGCCTGAACCTTAGAAATACATACATGCAGACCCTTCCCTGGAAAATGGTGAATAATCCTGACAGTATACTAAACCCCAAGGTTTCCTGTAATAAGATAAAGGTCTCCTAAAGTATACAATTCTACAAAATAAACAAAAACCATATTTTCATGTATGTCTAGGTAAGGTTTTTAGACAGGGTGAGTTACATTGTAGTTCCTAACAAATTATATTCACAAATCGCCCCGAGCAATACAGGCACATTCTAACCATGCCTCACTGATGTACATGTATAGCTGCAATCTGACTGACAACTCTCCAGTGTTATGATAAGACAAGCTTTGTATTTACTCCTTCAGAATGCATGGTACATGAACCTTGGCTAAACATAATCAGTGACTGTTCTATCACACAGTGAGCAAGACAGACTATGTCTAACCAACCTGCTGGGGCTTTTCTGCTATGAAGTATGGTTTTTCCTCTTTCAGTACCCTCAGAAATAATGGGATTGCATATTCCAGGAAGGTTCCACTCTGAGATGATGACAGAATGACCTGTGCGCAGGATTTTCAAAGTGGGAAGTGAAATTAGATACACAAATCATATAAAACTTATATGAAGGTACATTTATAGGCATTACAAATGAGTACATGTGTGTGTTCATAATAAATAGGTAATTTACACAAATCAGTAAGAAAACAGCACGAAAAATGTATCAATGCCAACTTCTGGTCACCACATCTTATTGCAAATTTGGGAAGGTTTTATGAAAGACTACGAAGAAAAGATGAAACAAAAATCAAGATGTCTTTTTTTAACCCTAATTGCTAAAGTGGGTCCAATTTTCAAAAAGTGAGGCATGCATGCTGACGAGACAAGACCAGAATTGGGATTTCCTCTCATGGCTTATGATTACTGGATAGTTAACATGGATTACAAACAAGAACCAGTAAACATGAACATACCTCAAAGTTTTCACTGATCTCTTGAGCTGCTTTCAGTCGATTGTCATCAGCTGAAAAGAAACATTTTTGGGATTACTACATGTATCTCAAAACTTGTAAGTGAATTTCAATGTTTTGGTATCTGGTGCTGTGATGTACAAATAGTCAGGTCTTTTCAGCTTAACTAATCACAGCCTGGGTTACCACTATCTGGATCTATGGAACAAAATCACTGAAGATATCATGACCCAGAGGACTAATGGTAGCCCATGTAGCTCACGTAAGATGTGTGTCATCACTCTACTGTACTTCAGCACCAATAGTTGGAATATTGTACAACAGGCCACTGAATCCTGTCCACTTTGGACATGCAAGCTGTCAGCACTCAGTCATATTCTGAAAGTACTCTACTTTAGAATCACTGAGTGATCTTGCTCTATGTTTATGTTTACATTATATAGACAGTTTATCAGCTTCCTGTTAATATGCAATGCTGGGGACCAGAACAAATATTGTTATGTCTGAGCTACTTGAAACTTGAGGCAATTGCCTCTCCATGTGCACACAGCTTTCTGCATGTGTACAATGCACTCATTTCTAAATATGGAAAAATGTGTAAGACTTATGGAAAAATGTGTTTGACAAAATGTTTCTCTTCACTGCACCTTGCTACGGATTCTTGGCATAAGTAGCCTGACGGACAACAATCCAGGACAAGAAAACAACCCAATACAATTCGATGCCACTGTTTCTCACATAATGAGAAGACTCTCTCAGTTTTTATATTTTCAGCACAAAATGGCATGTGTTAACTATGTGCCACATGCGACCAAACTAAAGTGCCCAAGTTGTTACTGCATCACACTTCTCAGTCCTCCAACAGGTGAGGGATTGAGGAATGTCAGGGTTAACCCTAACCCTCCTCAATCCTTCACCTGTTGGAGGATTGAGGAATGTTAGGGTTAAGGGCAACAATTGAACAGAAACATCTGAATGTACACCAGGAGTAAATGTATCACATTTGTTGTCCATATTGAATCAGACTGACTAATACATGTACATGTAGCTCTTACCTGTCCTGGTGTCTGCCAGTATGGAGACATTGGTGCGGTATTTGTTGATCATAGTAGCTGGGTCAATGGGCGATGACCCTGATGTTAATGGCATTGTGACTGCTGATGGTTTGGATGGCTGCATCTGAACAGTTCACTTCATGAATACAGGAAAACAAATTTGTTTAACAGATTTCATTTTGTTACGTACCAAACATTATTTGGTTAAACCACTGTTTTACAAATGGCAAGTTTTCCTCTATCAAAATGTGGCTTCTCCCAAACAGCAGACATTGTAACAAATATGCATGTTCTTCTAGCACAGTAGTGTTCAGACTAGTGTTTAGGTTTGTTTCTGAAAGATATAATCTCCACTGTTGACTGATTTGTAGGGCTCTTAAATACTCCACCCTCCCATTATAGCCCAGTGTATTATCAAGTGCCGTTTGGTTCAATTAGGAAATTAATTGTTGAAACTTTTTGCAGATGTCCCAGATGCGTGTACCTTCATAATATCAGGGAAAAGCCTCGCTTGCGACTTAAACAAGGAAATGCTGCTCAAGTCTGCTTACACCAAGAATATGCACATATAAAGGATATCTACATTACTGACTATTTGCGAATGAGAAAAACAAAACTTGCATGCTCAGCACTCGTTGACAGCATTCCCAAAAGGAATACATACATTCCCCGAAATGGAATGTTCCATTTGGGAACAGCGCCTGTTCCAGAAGGAAACAAACTTTGTTCCAAGTGGTGATGTAGTTAGCAATTATTTTCCAGGTCCAAAAATCAAACTCCTGTTTTGGATGTAACAAGACTATTTATGTATGGAAACCACATTACATCCATACCCTCAAGCAAAACAGGGGTTCACTTATGAAGGAGGGATACATGTTGTTAACATAAACTATAGGGTAAACTGCTGCGGGTTGATATAGATGCAAACATGCAAAAAATGTGACAATGTTTACATTTACTTTCAGCCTTTCTCTTCGTTTCTTAAATGCAAATTTATTTTGTCACAAAAAACCTGGTTTTACATAACCAGAAACCACTCTTTCGTGATTTATGCTGCGAAAAATGTTTCCACAAATATGAACAAAATGGTTCAACAATATACCTCTCTATGTGTTCTTTTTATGATGTAAATTTAACTGGCTAATTATTTGAGTAGCCACGTGATTTACTCCAAAGTCTTCAGACTATAGGCAAGTAACCAGGTATTGCCTAACATCATGGAATGTCCCATATACCGGTACATGTAAATGAAGTCACCCTAAGTTGGACAAAAGCATATGCTGCATACTGTAGGTGAAGTACATTATTTCATGTACAATGTTGTGCATGAGCATATTATAAAAATGACACTGTTGAAAGCATAGCAACGAAGTTAGGGAACATCTCAAAAGTTGGAATGCTTGGAACATTCCTTTTGGGAGCAAAAGATGTTTCTGACATGACATGAGTACAATTTTTTATGATGTCACCGATGCCCCACGCGGCCAAGATACTGAACAGTACAGGAGCTCCGTAATGAACGCGACTGAATCTATGTATATGGTCTCAGTGAGAATTGGGAAGAAGATTGGGAAGAAAAATTTAGGGACTAACAAAGTAACAATGGTTTGAAAAGGCGATTTGTCACGTTTGCATTAAACGTTAGTTAGGCCTGTCGTAGCCGTTGGTAGTGTTGGCCTATCGATACGCGATATAACTTAAAATGGAACTCTTTCCTCCAGTCATAGCCTACCTTCACAAGTGGTCACAACAACCTTGGAGGAATAAAACACATGCAACAACTATGATGAAGCATGGAGCAAGAAAAAGAAAACATATTATCAACCTGATCAGTCACTTGTTGGTCCAAACCACCAAGGAGGACGCCATATTGTCCCAGCAAGCACTACCCTTTTCCAAGACTTGGGCTCCGTCCAAGCCATCGTTCCCAAAACCAATTCCCGATTGTGGGCCTAAAGCGTTTAAATTAAATAGAAATACTGCAGTTTATGGCTCTTGCATCTTGTTTGATATTTTGTGGCACTATCAAACTAATTACTGCACTTACAGCTTCAACGTCAACTAGTTAAAAACAGTTGAATCCTCAGACGGAGCCGAATTGAGTATTAGAAAACGGCCGGCCTACGTACCACGTGATCACTCAGCTAACTCGCGCGCCCCTTCCGTGGGTTTTACCTTAGACTAGGAGGGTATGGTTTTACCCAGAATATCCTTTAAGGGTTTTTCCCCACCTCTAAAATTGAAAATTCTTCTCAAGTCGTGTTGTAAATCTGAGGTCTTCCATGGAAAGCTGTCCCTGGTCGGAGTTAACCCTTGTTAATAAAAGATGACACAGGGGCCTAAGCAAAACCAACATTTGTTTTTGTATCGCCGGCGTCGTCAGCTGCTGCGGTTAGGACCTAGAAAGTGTGAAATCCGTAGGTTAAGTTAAAAATCTGTGAACACAGAATTAATCTTCAACTGAACAGCTCTCTTGTTTCTTTTGCATTTCTGTCTGATCACGGAGGAATGTGTTCTTATTCCTCCATGGTCTGATGCAGCATTAGTGGATTTTGAATCTGCCGTCATCCAGCCATGACAGCAGCGCAGCAAAAGGCACAAAATTCGCCTTCAACGCTAAACTTGAAACCAAATCGGTAATTGGTTTAGTTTTGTTCTCTTTCATGGATTTACACGGTTTACACGAGGACGTTTGTTGCTTTTTACCGTTTCGACGGCTGACCAACAATTAAATTAGTTAAAACTCAGCCAGTTACATGCACTACAGTTGCGTCAATGGATTTCAACTGGAATTTGAGGACAGCGCCTTCGGCGCTATACGATCTTTGGTATGGTCATGGTACCAACATAACCCATGATCTGAAGACGTAAGGGGCGCTGTCTTAATTTTGATATGACATTAGTTTTATTTTGTTGTGATGTAACCGGCCGGGTGTTGTTGGAATTCGTGGACTCGACCGGCCTGTCGTACGTTGGACCAGATTTCCGTGTCAGTGTGTGTGGCTTGTTGGCGAATCAAACGTACATCGAAAACTCGCTGTGTGACAATGGCGATTGCATCGAGGCCCAGTCCAGCACACCGTTTAATGTTATATCATGGGCCTGGCTCAACACTTCGTCTGACTCTAAACCTGAAAGTCAAAGTTGTTCCAACTTTCATGACTGTTGTGTACATAATTGTAACGTTCATCTCAGCTTGCGATCAGAGTTCTGCCAACGGTAAATATATCACGTATAATATAGGCTTCTGTACATGGTGTACCAGCATGCGTATCGGCCCAATGTTAGGCTTAGGGAGGCCCATAAATGTTTCAACTATTTTTCTCTGTTTTTTCAGAAGCGATCTTGCCAGAAGCAAGGATGCCATAACTTAACCCTAACACTCCTCAGTCCTCCAACAGGGGAAGGATTGAGGAGTGTTAGGGTTAAGAAACATTTTGAAATTTAATGTGGATTCCATTGGCATGATTGGAATCTGCAAAGCAAAGAAAAAATTAATTGAAGTGGGGATTTTTTGAGATTTTTTTGTGAAATTGTGTGAAATGCAGCGCAGACTGATTTTTTTTGTAAGCAAAAATGAGTGTGGATTTTGACTGAAGAGCTTAAAATTCACATTTCCATAAAATGTTTGTTCTTATTCGTGTGTAATATTATGCCCCACATGTAAATACTGGCTTGGCTTGAAATTTCAAAATTTTTGAAATTTCAAATTAAATAGAGGAGCTAGAGCCTGCGAAAAAAAAAAAATTTAATCATAGTTTCCTATTTAAGAAAATGAGTTCCCAAATGACTAGTGCTCTCGCTCATTTATGCATGCACCAAATGTCTTTAAATCTTGTTTGTTGTACTGCAATCATTTTTCCCACTTCAAGTTTTGAAATAGACCTACATGTACATGTAGGCCCCTTTAGGCTTAGTATTGAAAAGAATTACAGACGCTGCTTGCCATGCCACCCTGTGCTCCAGTATGTGTGACTGCCATTTTCAAGGGTCATAACACTATGTGTTTTTGAATCCAGTATTGGCAGTGAAAGAATGGTCCAGATCCCTTTTTGCACAATCAGCCAAATATTCCTATAGGTGAAAGCTCCAGTGAGGCACCTACAGCTTTTAAAAACATCCGCAAAGGATTTTCAGCCCATGAGACTGAGCATTTAGTGAAAAATCAAACATTTTACTCATCAATCTTTTGGCTACCTGTCACAGATCGCCGTCTCTTTCTTGCTTTTCATGTTTATCACATTTGCGCATGCGTCAGGCTGGCCAGTGGCTAAGCTTGCTGCGTGTTTCTGTTCAACCATTTCTGGAGGTTGGGGATTGCATCTTATTTTCTTTGCGCAACCGTTCTTGCTTCGTGACTTGCAAGCTGATATTCAGGATCCATGCGCAATATGTGCGGCACTGTGTAGCGGTGACAGATACATTGATTTATTTTTTGTGAAAGTGGAGTCACGCAACCTTTCCTTTGTAATATTTCATGAGTGAGGAGCTATGCAGCTTGTATTTCAACCCTTGAAACCAAAACAGTCACATAGCAAGAACAGTCACACAAACAAAACAAGATGCATTCAGCCGCCTACGAAAACGCTCGAACTGAAATGCATAGCTAGCTAAGCCATTTGCCAGCCTGATGCATGTGCAATGTGGACAGCAAGAACGGCGCAGCGATTTGGTGTCGGTTAGACGAAATATTAGTAAGTGAGATGTCCTTTTTTTCAATAAATACTCAGTCTCGTGGGCTGAATCTCCTGTGCGGGTGTGTTCAAGAACTGTAAACTTTGTGCCTCACTGGAGCTTTCATGGGAATATTTGGCTGAAAAAGTGGATTTTGGGTTAAGTGATCTGGACCATTTTTTCACCGCAAATACAGGATTCAAAAGACACATAGCGTTGTGACCCTTGAAAGTGACATCACCTCTGAGTCACATAGAGTAGCACAGAGTAGTGATGGAGAGTTCTTGAAGTAAGTCTAGACTAATCTTAGTCTGGTTCTGCACCAATGTTGTTGTTGGAATCAGGCCATTTTACACTTTTTCCAAATAAAAAAATCCTCTGGAGCCAAGAATCAGAAAAAGAAAATGTAATACTCTCAAGGCCCAGTTATATTTTTGGAGTTGATCTAAAATAACACAAGATAAAAAATGACACTATCTAGCATTTGAAGCCAGCTGGGGAAATTCTCTCGTGTGCTCCCACATAAATGTGCTATCAAGTAGGCCACAGGTCTTGCACACTCGGTGGTGGTACATGTACATGTACATGTAGTTATGCCAACAGTTTGCACACTTGCATCAAAAAGGGCCTGCCTACATGCTGCTGGCTAAATGATGTTTACTTTAATTCAGCCAGCTCCCACAAAATTTGCACTACTCATTTCTTCTACCAAATAGCTCCATGCTGAAACTTAATCAAGAAGAAGGAAATGGCCTACATGTACATGTACGTGATACACATAGCCGGTACATGTACCTATACGAAAACTGCTGTGTTGAGCGTGATTTATTCATTCAGTACAATGTCCCCCTCCCTTGGACATCCATGCATTACATACATAAAAATTTGTCACTTTTCCGTGAAAGCAAACTTAGCTTGGAAGATAGTCACAACAACTCCAGAGCTTCTGACCTTTGCACGAATAAGCCTTTTGTGAGTTAACTTTGACCCAAACTGGTACACTGAGTTCTTTAAATTCACGTGAATGTAACAACTTGAATTCTTCTTACTAAAACCACTGTTGCTATACCTCGTGATTCAGGGCAAGCTTTTACTTAGTTACATAAGAGACACCTTGTAACAATACACTGTTCTCTATGGATAAGAAGGGCACAAAGGAACCAGTCCATTCCAGAGATGTGGTTGCTATGTGAAAGCCTGCCCTAAATCGTTAGGTATAGCAACAGTGTCTTTAGTCTGGGAGATTCAAATTGTTCTGTTTATTTGCAGTCAGATAACTCAGTGCACAAGATTTTATTCAAAATTAACTCGCAAATGGCTTATTCCCCTCAACCTGCAAAAGGTTTGTCTCAGTCTTGAGGGTTTGGGACTCGGTCTTGAATGCTTTGGTCATGTTGGTCTCGGATATCAAGGTATGGTACATGTACGTGTGCATAGTAAGAAATAAAATTGGCAATTTACTGCCTTTGAATTGCCAGTATGGAATTTCAGACTTTTCATGGTGAAACACAGCAAAGCTTGCGGTAGCACCATGCGAAGGAATATATCTCTTATGAGTATGTGTGGTTCAGAAAAGGACCGGGAGTATACTCTACATTTCAGACTGCGTGCTCAGTCTATCATCAGGAGACTGAAGAGAAGCTGAAGATGGAGCTGTTTATATAAGGTCACTGGATGCAGTGGGGTGTGACGAGGATGCTAGTGGTGGATTCAGCTGGGCGCTCATGCGGGATGGGGTCCAGCAGGTCAGTGAGGCGTGTCAGTTGGGCATAGGTTGGGGCGGGGTGAGGTCGCCGGGGTATAGGAGACCCATAGGCAGGGTGGGGGTTGACCTAGGGCATAGAGGACCCATTGGACTGGGAGGTGAGCAGAGGTTGCCAGATGTCACTGATTGAAAAGCCGATGTCTTGGGGAACGGTGTCATGCTTAAGAATCTCCAAGGCTTCTCTGATGCATCTTGGGTACCAGTGCTCGATGCCGGTGATGAGGTGGGCTTGGTCCCTGTTGATGCGGTGGTCTTCAGAGTGGGAATGCTTGACTATCGCTGACTTCTCATACTCTTACTTCCGGCCATGGGCTTGGTGTTCTTTGAGTCTGGTGGGGAGGTCCCTACCAGTCTCACCGATATACACTTTGCCGCATTGGCAGGAGATCTTGTACACCCCTGGTCGGTGGTGCGGATCTTTTCAGTCCTTGTGAGATGTCGGCATGCCGCGGATCTTGAAAGGGGCTGTGTGGAATACCTTGATGTCACGCTTGCTCAGGATACGCTGGATGTGGTGGGAAGTACAACCGAGGTAGGGGAGAGTAACAGAACTAGGGGCCTTATCTAGTTGGCTTTGGGTATAGGAGACCCTTCAGCCGGGAGAGGATCTTGGTCTTGGGTCTTGAGTCTTGATCTACTGGGGCGTTGTAGCCGTTACGTTGAAGTGCTGTGGAGATGTGGTGCAGTTCTTTGGCGAGGTGTTCCTTGTCGCAGATGTTGTAAGCCCTGCAAACGAAGGCTCGGTTGACAGATGACTTGATTTTGGGGTGATAGCAGGAGGAGCAGTTAAGATATCTGTCGGTGTGAGTGGGTTTGCGGTACACCTTGAGGGAGAGGCGGACATCTTGACTTCTGGACACCTCAACATCAAGAAAGGAAATGCTGCCATTTCTTTCTTGTTCAATGGTGAATTGGATGCTGCTGTGAAGCCCGTTGAGGTGATCCAAGAAGTGTCGGAGGTTGTCTTGCCCGTGCTGCCAGATGACAAATGGGTCATCCACATACCGGAGCCAGATCTTGGGACGATGGTCTGTGGTGGCGATGGTGGTCTGCTTAAATTCTTCCATGAATATGTCAGCCAGAACTGGGGATATAGGCGATCCCATAGAGGTTCCAACTAACTGTTCAAAGAATTTTTCCTGCCATCGGAAGCTGGTTGAGTTGGCGCAGGTGGTGCGGAGGTACAACCACGGCACAATTAGAAGATGTACCAGAGTTTGCCTTAATTCAATTAAACTTTGATGCAACATGCAGGTATAAGAAGGACTGGGCAAATGTAGGCACAGAAAAGCAGCCAAGATAGACGTACATGTACATCACTTTTATTCTTTCTTGAAAGGTGAAGAGAACATTCAAACCCTTGCCAAAAATGTTGCTTTATAAAGCATTTATCCTGAAAACTTAAGAGGTAATTCATTTAACCTCATCCCTCCGGTCATACCTTCTTTGACTGAAACTGGGGGGGGAGGAATTAACCCCCCTGTTGTTACAAATCTACTGGTACAGTAACTGTAGATGTATTACCAATCTACAGTAACTGTAGATGTATTACCAATCTACAGTAACTGTAGATGTATTACCAATCTACAGTAACTGTAGATGTATTACCAATCTACAGTTAGCTGTAGATTAGTAAGAATAATCTAGATTTGTAAGAAATAAATTACAGTTTAAACAAATGGGTGACGTCACAGAAATAGTTTAACACAGAACATACTGTACAGTGTAGGCCCATGTACTACCTGTACATGTATATTACATGTAGCACATGCAATGTTTTGTTTAAAGACCCCAAAAAATCCCAAACAAAACAGACTTTACTGACATGTTTGTTTCTCTTTGTTACATTTTTGCCTAGGCATAGATGTTTCCCCTGCTTACTCGTTATGGGGGAATAACAAGTTCACCGACCGCTACTCTGTCAAGTATAGTGATATAGCCATATTGCATGGATCCCCTAGAAACAAGCGACAATCAACACAAGGAACGACGTCTCGCCCAATGATTATAAATGAGGTCAGTTGTGTTCTACAAAAATTCTCAAAATGCAATGAACAATATTCAGGTGTATTTAAAAATTCAAATAGCCTACAGGTGTTTAAAGAGTTTTTACATGTATACATGTATTTGAGGCAAGCCCAAGCAACCTTTGAATGTGTGCATACATGTACTGGTAGTTGCACACAAAATGACTGTATACATGTACTTGGGTATATAATGTACATGTACACTTACTCTCATACATGTACCTCTGTTGTTTTTGTACAACATTGGGGAGTCATATTGTGTTTGTTTGTAATGCAGTTGCGTTGAACCAGAATCGGTATAATGTACATGTTGGCAGATGATTTTGTTGTTCACACAGTTATCAACTTCATTTTTTGAATGGATTTTGTAATCTAAGCATTTTCCTTCCAGCACTTACAAAGATTCAAACCTGGTAATACTGTACATGTACAGTAGGTAATCTTGTATTCAAGATACACTGTATTTACATGTACTTCTCCCAATTTTTACGGTTTTACACTGTATTTACATGTACTTCTCCCTAATTTTTATGGTTTTTAGATTTACAGGTGTTTAGATAATTTTTTTCAAGCCATGAATACAATACTCACTTCCATGCTTTGAGTAGAGTACAGTACTCTTTTACCCTCAGTATTTAGTATTGTACTCTTCTTGAGAGGGAGAGTACTGTACTCCTTAAGAGTAAGAGGTGGAGGAACTGAGTACTAACAATATGTGAGTTAGTCCTTTTGCCTGAGTATATACATGTAATAATACTTGTTATTTCTCTTGAAAAATACAGTATAAAACTGGTGCTTAGTGATAACCATGAACTCATTACACCATAGACAATATCACATAAGATTGTATCTGCCTGTGTGCGGTGGCATGTGTGAGGCTACCGTGCACAGACGCTACGCTGTATGTTGACCCGCTGCTGCGCGCATATGCCTGGTGGTGGCAATTCAGAAAGTCACGGTGCACTTCATCACTCGGTGGTCAAATGTGCTCATACTCATGATCTATGTATACCTCAATCTTTCTAAGGTGTTTCAGACTCAAATTTTCCAAAAATGATACCTGGTTTCTTGTAGGTGTACTGGAAAGCCTCTAAAACACCACTTGAAAAAATGCTTGTGTTTAGTGGATCAAAACTTGCAGAAAAATTCACGTTTTTTTGCCGAACTTTCGATGAGGAGTTTGAGCAACTCAAACCTTATCCATTCATGCAAAACTCAATGAAAATAGTGTGGCCCCACAAGCTAGAAATCAATTTTACTGCATCATGTCTTTGGGGAGTCTGCTCACCAAGGTTTTGTACACCAAAATGATCCATGCACACAATGCGTGCACAGTTGCCCATTTTGGTCTACAACACATTTCGCTCTGGGTCTTTCCCGTTGATTTGGGATTTTCTGAGTAATTTTTCATGGTTATGCATGGAGCAGTGAGAAAATTTGTGTGCAGACAAACATGAACAAATTGGTTTCAGTAGCATTGGCTATGAAGTAAGAATGCTTCTCTGATGGGCAGGGCGTAATTGACCAAAGGTGAAAAATACAGAAACTTGTGGTACTCTTTCTATAGTCGAAGTCACTGCATATTTTACGTTCCACATGAGGTTTTATGCTGCGTATTTTGACTAAATTTCTAAGTCAGGAACCGTATATACATGTACGCCGATATGCACTTTATCTAAACCCCTGGGTTTTAACTTTGAAGTGTAGTGCTGTGATAATTAACTACCGGTATGGCTTTTTTTTATTTACTGTGTACTTGTTCTTTGGTTCATTCAGAAAGTGTTTTCTGACTAGAAAATTAGAAATGTTTGCTTTATACACATTATTATCCTTTGACATTTGTAGTACAAGTGATGACGTCACCAAGCTTAGGTAAAGAGTACAAACACGTTTTTCTCAGACATGCTTTTTTGCAGAATAATTTCTGAAAACTACTAGTATTTGGTATCCTTTTTAGGGTTACTTGTACTGCCAAGCATATTGAAAAGTGCACTTTTCAATGACTTGCCATGGGCATTTCTGACACAACAAAGAATCATTACAAAAGAGTATGTACGTAAAAGAGTAAATGTAAAAGGTTCCAGCAGATTTTGATGTACAAATCAATGCAATACTGAGGTTTCCTTAAGGAATGACATACCTGTAATACCTGTAGTTGTGCCCATGAATGTCTTATACTTGTATGTGTAGCATGAGCCTAAAAACTAAAACGGCATTGAAATGCTCCTTACAAAATTGAAACACTATGTATGTAAATGAGAATTTAGGTTTATTGAACGTCAGTTTACATGTGTACATACATGTACATGTACATGCAGATGCATTTTCAAGGCCTGTAGCAAAAATGCATTGTATAGACCCTTTAATTTATAGGACTTGCCATAGGTCTATTGCTGAATTGACAGCATTGGCAAGGGAGAAAGGAACAGTGCCAAGTGCATAATTTAGCCTGGCTATCACTCATAGGCTCAGGCTGTGTCCAAAACGGGCCTCCAGACAGATCTACATCTATATATTGTCAGTGTATCTCCATACATTTCCATTGGAGTGAAGACCGACATAAAACGCACTTGTACATGTAGCTCCAGACAACAGATTCAGTTGCAGCCTTAGTCATGTTACAGTGGTTGGTGATTCTGCACCAAGAGGAAATGGCTTCATAGACCAGTTCTCCATGGCAACCACGAATCTAGTCCTCTTTACATTTTACATTTGCTTTCCTTCATGTTCTATCTTATAAATTTTTTAATGAAATGATGCGTAAGTTGAGAAGTGTTCTATTACCTGGTACACTGAGAATGCAGGGATTGAAGCTGATTTGTTGAAGCATAATTGTATTGTGCAATGGATTCACTGTTTTAAGTATGAGAGAAACTTGCTATTTAAATGAATGAAAATTAATAAAAAGCTTCAGAAGACTTTGTCTCTGTATTTTTTGGGGGAAAAAATGACGTGAGATAAACTCTGAATCAGGAACCTACATACACTGTGCATGTACATGTACTCATATGTATGTTAAGGGGCCATATTCACGAGATCTTACTTACAGCCATGTATGTATACATACCGGTAGCCTACTTAGCCTACCGGTACTTAGCTACAATGTACATGTACATGTACCTTATGCAGTACATGTACATGTAGTTGGTTAAATTTGCAAGGGCTTGTAGTGCCTACTAAGCCCACATGCATGTGCATTTGTACATGTGTGTAGTTTGTAACTGTAGTTGATACCTATTTACAACTAAAGCATTTCTAGGGTTAGTTACATTCAAAGTTTCTTACAAAAGTTAGAGTTGATCTTGGGTACCAGTAACTCTATGAAGAGAGTTGTTAGTGCATTTTCATTTTATCGCTGATCACCAACTTGGCAATGTGGCTCAAAGAATCCTGGTTTTCAAGGGGGTAGAATGCATAAGAATGCATAACTTGGACAGGGGGAACCCAATACACATTCATATGCTACAGAAAACCTTTTTTTCCCCAGGAAGGGATAATCCCAATCACAAATTTACACAGTTGCACCTGATTTTGAACATTTCACTCTTTTCATTCAACTTTTCACACACTTTGCCTGCCAAAAAGAGATTCCTTTCATGCATGTCTTGAAAATTATTTGCCTTCCTTCGCGTCTTGTTGCCATGTTTGGTAACATTTGCATTGCTACCAAATTTGATTTTGAGTCACCTCACTATCACGTACATGTATAGGCCAGATCTTTGTTTTTTAATAGATGTCACAGTTTGATTTCATTCAAGAAATTTTGTTTTATTATAGAAATTTGCCGTGTTTTGTTAACTTAAAATTGTGCTAAATTCCAGAACGTTGTGGTTCAATTGAACTGAATGGTTAAAGGTATTCACTGGCGGACGAAATGCCGAGGCCAGTGCCTGTGACTTCATATCAAGTAGTTAGTGAATGGTTGAAAAGTATGGACTGGACTCTGGTCAGTAGTCAATGGTCGTTGGACAATAAGAAAAGAATGTTCATTGGCCGCAACCATTCCAGTTTAGTTGGTACAGTTTTAAGGAATTTGGGACAATGCATTGCGTTTCTGTATAAAAAACTTGGGAAGGGCATCAGCTTGGCACTTGGTGATGAGATTGACTGCTGGCACTACGTTGGGGCATTAGAGGCCCGTCTAACCCGTTCATCCCACATGCGTTTGGTCGGGGATTGGGTTTGTTTTCGCAAATACTGCATCGTTTTGGGGAGCTTGAGAGCACCAAGATGCCAGTAAGAGTGCCAGCAGTCTAGAAGTCTTGTCTTCAAACTTGACAGCCATGCCAGGTTACCTGATATAGGCTGTAAGTATTTTATTTTGTATAAAAACTGCAACAAAATTCTGTGAAGTGTTGTTAATCTATTATTGGAAAGAATGTTGTAGTTCACGGGTTCATGACGAAATAAATTATGTTCATTTGTTAAAGCAATTGTTTGATTAAAAGCGAACAAAACGTAATGTTTTAGGAGATTCTTATGAAATAAACGCAGTGGTAAATTATTCAAGTGGTAATCCGAAACTTTGGAAATGTAGTGAAAGTGATTGGTCAGAAATCGTTTGAAAGTAGTTAACTGTATTTAATCTAAAGGGATTTTGTATTACAAATAGGGCTTTTTATCTTGGACTGGGGTCTTGGTTGACGGGTAGACGTTCCCCCACCAATGTGCCATCCCAGGATGACACCTAGCCCCGGGGACGACAGCAGGACTCGCCTTAAACTGAGATCCGGACCAAAGACCACAAGTGTCCATCAGTATCTTTTAATTTTGATATGTGTTCCTCGAGGTTTGCTTTGAATGTGTTCAAGATGAACTGTGTAATTAGTGGTTTTTTTAAAGGGGGATTCAAATATTAAATGTGTTGAACTATATTTGATTGTGTTTGGTCCTATATTTTCTCTGAGTCATTCTTTTCAGAGTTTTGGTTCAAAGGTATCATTTCCAAGGCCTTTTAGGAGGACTTGTGACAATAGGCAAGAATTAGCATAATACACCTGTCACATTACGTGCATGTCCAATCATCACATGCCACACATGTACATGTACATGTACATGTATGCTCATTTCACCCAAATGCACTACATCTTATTCTTTGAGTACTTTTGTGTAAACACATTTAACAAGGTTCTCAGTAAGGTTTCATAATTTCCATGGTAGGCTATCAGGAATTTTGGTATCCTACAAATACATGTACAAGGGCCTAGTTGCCTGCTAAATTAGTAAGGTTTTGCGAATATGGGCCCAGGTACATGTAAATACAGTAGACCACCAAGCAACATGAGCCAATTTAAGTTTGTTTATTGTAGTTTTTATTGCATTTTTTATGCAAATTTTGTTGATATAGAGTATCCACTTTGAGCAGAACAAAAGAGGGTGTGGTTTTTTTGGGCACTAACCACATAGGCGCGCCATGAGGTGCGCAAGTACATGTACATGTATGTGTGCGTTTGACGTGGAGCACGCTGAGTACGCATAACTAATTTTATTAGTTTGGATTTATTCCGGCTGGTATGGTCTTTGCGTACACGCAGAATGCGTGCAAGAACCCGCTTGTAACCACACGTCTTTCTTTCGCCAATTGGGAGGGGGGTGCAGTTCAGCTCGAGGCGGACACATTGCATTCAGCTGTCCTTAGCATGGGTTTTGAACAAGTCACAAGAAAAGTACTACACTTAAAACCTAAATTTCATTCAATTTTTTCTTTGAAATACTCCAATATTATCCACAGAGAGAAAGTCATCAGTACTACAGTTCATCTTATATCTCTGGAGACCCCAAGTACTACATTGACTTGGAAACAGAAGAATCCTTCACTGTGATTCCTCATTGGAAACTCTCTGATAGCCACCTAACTGCAGCTGTAAGTTTGATAACCATCACTAATGCCATCAGTTGGGTAATATTTCCAAATAGGTCTCTTGGGAGACATTTTGTGGTAAATTTTTCAACATTAGGGAGACATCGGTCATTAGGGAGAAATTTTGTGGTAAATTTTTCAACATTAGGGAGACATCGGTCATTAGAGAGACATTTCAATGTCTCCCTAATGCTCCAACTACCAAAAGGACGAAAATATTTATTGTCCACATTTTGAGAGATGATAGATTAGGGTCTGAAAGGAAAACAGTTTGGGGAATATTGAATTATGGGACGGTAAAGTTAGAAAAATTTTGTGCACATTCCTATGGGAATGTCTCCTAAGTGACCCATTTTCGGTAATAATAATATAAACTCAATGATTTACAGTTATATGTACATACATATGATGTTCATGAAGCACCTTTTTATTTTGGTTCCTTTCTGTTTCCAGTAGATATACATGTACCTGTATGTACATGTATGTAGCTTTTCTAGAGTTGTTTATTTTAAGAGAGGCATTGGTCATTTATTTTTCATTAATCATGCTAGATTATAAATCTTAAAAAGATATATGTAACAACATGTTCATCTATGTCAAGTGCAAAATTCTCGTTTCTCTTAACCCATCCTGGATAGTTTACATAAATCTATTTTGTCCCCTACAGGTAGTAAACCTGCCTTTCACCTTTACATTCTATGGCCACAATGTAACAAAAGCCTATATAGCCACAGGCGGTGAGTCTTCTCTTCATTGTCAGAATTTCTATTCTCAGTAGTCACATGTAAAGGTATTGGTACACGTACCTGTTTAGAATTCTTTTTGAATTGATATATTTCCATCTTAATTCATTGGTTAATCATACTTGATTTCACACATGTCCCAGTATGAGGCCTTTACATCTCCCTGACAGCATTAAAATTTCATTTGGGCTGTAAAAAATCTGATCTGCTGTACCCTGCTTTTTACAGTTTTGTAAGGGCCGGCGACCATTAAGACCCGGTTTGAAAAGGTCCCCCTCCTCCCTGGTAAGCTTGCCCTGTTGCAAAAGCCCCCTGGCTACTGGCCTGGGATGCTGGACTGGTTGTTGATCTCGAACTTCTCCATCCTGGGGTCTATTGTTTGCAAGTACTGGTATGTGTAATCTATCCCAGAAGGAACCTGCTTGTGGTTTTTAATCCTTCAGGGCTATACAGTGTTTACACTAATCTGCTTAGACCCCTATTCATCTGTGGAAACATCATGGGGGAAACCTTCCATCAGGGATTTTGAAATGTAGACATGCAGACTGGCCTGATACCGGCCTGGAGTGGCCTGAATGCTGGGCAGGCATTATACACGGTGGGCTATGGGGGGGGGGCCTTTTCAAACCGGGTCTAAATGGTTGCCCGCCCTAATTAATGCGAGAAATTGAAATTTCCCTGAGAAATGTAATTCACAAAGTACTGCATGTTTTAGATTGGTGCAGTGTCTACCATTAAAACAATTTAACTGTTCAGTGTATATGGACCTGGTTCACTCATACATATAATTTTTGGTTCATTTTGTGACACATTTTGTATTACAGGCTTCATATACTTGGGTACTGTTTTTCATGAGTTGATAGCTGCAACACAGTATGTGGCTCCACTGATGGGTAACTTTGATCCAAGTATTAATGATTCTGCCATCATACGATACGCCAATAATGGTAAGTAATAAGTACAAGTCAATTGGGATACATTTTCAGGATACGTACATGTACCTGTAGGCTGTACATGTCCATGTAGAGTGTGATTTGGAACCAGATAGTGAACTTAATGAACGTGTGTATGCATTTGTACGAGTTGGAGTACATGTGTTGTATGCAGTAACCATTGGCACAGTATCAAGCATTCAGGATTTAATCAGTTTTCAAACTTTCATTACTGTCATACATGTAAATGGCAATCAGTAGGTCCCAGAACATGTGAATACCCAGAGGGTTAGACATATAAATACACCTTTCCTCAGACTCATTCTTAAGTAACCCATGTAGTACTGAAAGGTCACTTTCATGCTGAGGCTGGTGTTTGTCCCATTATTGTGTGCATATATCCCTTCGGGCCAACACAGTGCATGTTGCAGTAAAGGGTCTATTTTTTCAATTTACTTCAGGAAGTTCAGGTAATTGCTTTTTACTGTCAAAGGAATTGATGCACTTTCACTGAAGGGTCATCCTACACTGCACACGTACTGTATTGCCTCATGTGTTGGAGACAAACTCAGCCAAAATTAGTAAAGTATAAATATGCTTTTGATACATGTTATAATATATGTCTTCAGTTGTGAAGCCACAGCAATCTTTCTAGTGTGTACACTCCCTATCATGTTGAGGCATGCATGAATCCATAGAGCTTTTGTTGTATTCATTTTTACTAAATATGCTGCTACACTTATGACATGACTTAGAGGGTCCCTTAGCTAATTAGTGCAGCCATGATTACATTGTATCATGGCAGTCATATCTGGGATTTGAATAATTAGCTTGAATCTCCTTCATGACGCAAAAACAGCTGTGGTGATTCTCACCAATGCAGTGACGACCTGATGCAAAGTGCTTAACTTTGTCCAGGAACTGATTTTTGACCCATCATTCCAAAACCAGTTAGAAGACTTTTAGCTGCATGTACCATCTGGAAATAATGCCCATGTACTCCTGGACAATGCACATTTCACAGCTTTCATTGCTCCTACATGTACCTTATCAAAGCTGTCTTTACTTTGAATCACTTCAAAGTGTAATACTTACCAATGGTGTGAGAAATTGTCCAACATCAAAATAACCTCCATGTACTTCAGCCAGGTTTTGGAGTGGTGGGTCTTATATGTGAACATTTTTTGTGTTAATTACCAATTCATAGTACATGTACATGTCAGTGTATGTTTACAAAATTATAATGTCCGTGATATATCTACTATTGTTACTGTCAATTTCAACATGAATGATAAAATACAAGATGACTCCAGGGTGTAAAATGGCTGTCCACAACTGCATTATGTATGTCTAGTTAGTCAGTGAAGTTCATCACTTGTGAATTAGCACAAACTGTTGTCCACAAAGTGATCCTGATTTTGGGTGCTAAGAATCTATTGCATGTTTTCCTACAAATATGATTGACTTTAATTTAAATATAATAAAGATGTAAAAATTCAATAAGTTGAAATGAAACCGAAACAAAATACTTAAAGACTACTGAAGATCATGACAAAAACAAATGCTGTTTCATTTGGAAGGTCTACATTTACATGTGTGTCAGAAAAGCCAGTGATAAAGTGTTAACGATATGACTCAGCTATAGGTGTGCAGTCTGTACATGTACCGATAGTTAGTTGACAGTGCATAAAATGCCAAGCCCATATATGTTCATACACCATTCACTTTCATTAGTGCCAATTGCAGTTCATATGCTTGTGTTGACCAGGAGCTTGTTGGATTGGTGTATATAAACCCCTTCACGTCGGGACGCGGATAGAGCCGCCATAAAAATTGAGATCCTCGGCCCACTTTTCAGCTATAATTCTCGGCCCACGCTCGAGCGAACACGGTGAAAGAAGGCACACCCTGGCTCTTGTATATATGGTGATTGGCCTTTGTGTGTAGCCCAGAAATGAAA